TCCTCTACAACTAGAACCTGATCCTCCTCTACAACTAGAACCTGATCCTCCTCTACAACTAGAACCTGATCCACCACACAGCAGATTCTTTGTAAGTAAGAAAAGGAAGTAAAAGTTTCTTTATAAAGCACGTCTCACAGACATAGAGAGTCACAAAGCGCTTTACAAAAAGCAAAAGTTACACAGAAAAATAAAACAATAAAACATGAAGAACATCATAAAACACAGGTAAGGAACAGATCACACACTGGAATTGTTCTAAAGATGAAAGTTTTCAGTTTGCCACAGAATCAACTGAACGTATAGACAGCAGAAGATCCAGAGCCTTGGAGCGACGGCCTGGAAGGAGCCATCACCTCTAGACTTAAAGTGAGTGAAGTTAGACCATTCTGATGTGATGACCTCAGCCCTCGACAGGGTAAACACAGACACAACAGGACTTTAAAATATAATGGAGCCTGACCATGGAGAACTTCAAACGTTAGGACCAGGCTTTTAAACTTAAAACAAAAGCCACTGGGAGCCAGTGGAGGGATTTTAACTGGGGGTAATGTGAATCCTTCTGGTGGTGCAGGTCAACACCTTGGCTGCTGTCAACGGGACAAGTCCTTCTTATTAAGACAGGACAAAAGGACATTACAATAGTCTAAAGAAGAGGACACAAAAGCATGAGTGATCAACTCTAAATCACCTGTGGGAACAGTTCTAAGTTTGGAGATGTTTCTAAGCTGAAACAAAGTGTTTCTATGAGTTGTTTGGAAGTGTTGTAGTGACATCACTCTAACATTTCTAAGGTTAGAAGGCTTGTCTGATTCTGGATTCCATTTCTCTGAGCAAAGACTGGACCAGAACCTGTTCTATGGTCCAGACTGGTACTCACTCTGCAGGCTGGGCAGGTTGGCATCTTCAGGTTTGGTCTTCAGCAGGTGAGGAAGACGAGTGTATCTGTAGCCAAAGCCACAGCCCTGAGAGGGAGGAAGATGTTAGAGAGGAAGAGGAGGGAGCAGTCTGAACTCTCTGACCAGGGTCCAGGGCTGGACTGAAGACTGGACTCTCAGGGTCACAAGAGGCAAACACACAGATAAATGTGTGTGTGAGCTCACCCTCCACAGTCGGACCAGAATCCAGTTGGTCTGAGCCCAGGGTCTCTGCTCGTATGGAGCCAGAAGGTTCCTCATCATCGCCACTCGCCTGAAAGGAGACACCAACACAGACCACTGCAGGAGGACCTGAACCTGGACCTGGACCTGGCTCAGGACCTGGTGCTGGTTTTTCTGATCCCTGAAACCCATGAACCTGTGAGAGCTTTAAGGCCCTCTGGCACCAGGTCAGATGATGTAATTACCCACAATGCACTGAGAGATCACTTCCAATAAAAACACTTAGAAACTTTAACCAGTTTCAGGAAGAACCAGAACATCCAGGTCGGCTGAAATGATCTGTGGTCTTCCTGACATACAGCAGCTCCCAGATCCAACAGGTCCAGATCAGGACTCTGGACTCACTGAGCCAAAGACTTACTGCTCCTCTGGGATCCTCTCCACCGCCCTGAGGGATTGTGGGTAGCAGACATAGCTGGCCAGCGCCTGCATCAGAGAGTCTTTGATATCTGCAAGAGACGACAGAGGAGGTTAAACCTGCAGACACAGCTGTCCTGAGGACTGAGACAGGCCTGCCTGAACCAGAACCACCAGAGCCTCCAGATTTATTCATGGTCCTGTACCTGGTCTCTGTACCTGGTCTCTGTACCTGGTCTCTGTACCTGGTCTCTGTACCTGGTCCCTGTACCTGGTCTCTGTACTTGGTCCCTGTACCTGGTCTCTATATCTGGTCTCTGTATCTGGTCTCTGTACCTGGTCTCAGGTAAAATAAATGTCCTGTTGTGGACGTGCAGAGACAGGTGCAGAGACAGGTGCAGGGACAGCTGCAGGGACAGCTGCAGGGACAGGTGCAGGGACAGCTGCAGGGACAGCTGCAGGGACAGGTGCAGGGACAGGTGCAGGGACAGCTGCAGGGACAGGTGCAGGGACAGCTGCAGGGACAGGTGCAGGGACAGGTGCAGGGACAGATGCAGGGACAGGTGCAGGGACAGGTGCAGAGACAGCTGCAGGGACAGGTGCAGGGACAGCTGCAGAGACAGGTGCAGGGACAGCTGCAGGGACAGGTGCAGGGACAGCTGCAGGGACAGGTGCAGGGACAGGTGCAGGGACAGATGCAGGGACAGGTGCAGGGAC